CATTTAGCTGCTTTACTTCTTTTCTGTCTCCTCATATTAGTTGTTATTACAGAAGTATGTTTTTGTCCCAGATGGGATCTGACCCTGTTGTAAAACAGAGAACATCCTGCCCTAAGTAGTTCATAATCAAATTAACATCAAAAAAGACAGACGCTGATTTTGTTGGCCATTTCTGAGGCTCTTAGCAAAAAGGTAATGGACACAAAACTGATCACTCTCATGTGCAGATATTTTTAAGGACCAGTTGGCAAAAGTAGCACAACCCTTTTTAAAGAAGCATGTTCCTGTTGCAGAGATGTTGAATTATTGAAACAGAAATTTCATCTATAATTTCTCTCTCACGTAGGTGGCTCCACAGGGATTCCTGGATCCAAGGTCCAAGTAGGGGTGACAGTTAGCCACAGCAGCTGTGTGCGAGAGCAGCTGTAAGCAGTGTTGCAAGCTGAATACAGCTAGCTACTTGCTTACTCTTACTGCCTGCTACAAAACCACAGCTGAGAGCGCTAGGACAGTGGGAGAAGAGGAGGAATGCCACTCTTGTCTCTCAGCCTCAGTTACTGATGTCAGATGGCAACATGATTCAAACCAAAGATAGTAGAAAAGAAAAACAAGTAACACCCCTGCCACTGTGTGCTGCTAGCTACCACCTAATAAAGTAGTCAATGCTAAAGGAGCATGATGAGCTCTGTGACCATACTGTGCCCTTGCTTCCTCCCTACCCTCTGTCATCACATTGCCTGCTAGCTCCAGAGTAACTCAGGGACACTGGGGAAAGGCAGGTGCGGATTTGCCAGGCAGCGGGAGAGAAAGGCTGAGGGGCATTAGCTCCTCAGTTAGCACCAGACAATAAACATATCACATATTGAGATCACAGTTACACACCTGTACCATCTCCTCCTCTTTCTCCTGCCCAACCGTTTTTACTAGGACTGTGTCTACCCCAAATTCACTCATGTGATAAACGCTGTTAGCTCACAGGTTAGCAAGTGAGCATGCAGGACTTGTAGACACTAATAAAGCATCTGACTAGTGACCCTAATAAAGAGAAACCCATAAGGGAGACATAAAGAGAAAAGTTTTACTTAAAAAAAAAAAAAATCACTGATTTGGAAGGACAAAGAAGAACAGCCATGAATGGCACAGGCTGGGCCCTGGCAAAGAAGCAAGACAAATCCTTATACAGAAATATAGACTCGTTCTGGTCGCTTAGGAACAGGAAAATCAGGGAGACTTTCAACGCTGTATGCGTTCCCACTATTCTCCTGGGCAAAACCTGTGAAAGACAGTGTTTGTTGTGCATGCACCAGATTGTCTTTCCTGTGCCCTAAACTGAGTATAGGCTATTGGGTTTCTCTTCACTTTGTGGACCTTAGTCCTCTCCATCAACTGAGGTGACAGAGTAGTACCAACCAAGTCCAGTCCTGACCCCACCTGCAGTGGGGCAGTGAGTCTAAAAACCTGAAAATCTTTTGCCAGTCATTCTCCAACCTCAGAGAGCTTCCCGGTGTGGGTTATTTGCAGGAAAATTTGATTCATAGGTTTCCACAACAGCTGCAGCTCTGCCAACTAGAGCAATAAATGCCAGGAGCTTTCGTTGGTCGTTCAACAGCCATGCCACAACCTCCATGAGGCCCAAACCCCATATAATGACATGGAGCAGGCCACAGGCATCTGGTTAAAAACTCCTGGCCTAAAAGCAGGAGTGAAATTAATCTTTTCAGCCTGAGCAGCATGCGTTCATCATTCTGTTCCACACTGAATTTTAAGAGACATTATCATTCTTATGCCTCACCACAAACCCACTGCCATGTGTGTCCATTTGCCAGCAACTGCTTTCCTCTCTTTCACTCTCCTGTTCCATCCAATCTACCCACGCATGCTCTTTTTTGCTCCTCTAAACTCCTCATCCTCCAGTCTGTCTTTCTTATCCTTTTTCTCTCCCTAGCTTCTCTCCTGCCGCTTAAAAAGGAATCATCACTACTGATAAGTCCATAACCTTTTCCCATACACAAAGAATCAATCTAAATTTTCAGTCTGGCAAAAAGATTTTCTATTACAGAGCTGAAACAAAGAAACAAACACTGACATAATATTCTCTACAACTCATTCTCTTCACAGCAGCCATATTGATATAACAGGGATAAGGGCATACTTTCTTAAATACAAAACAAACAGCTCAGCTGTTTCACAACAAAAATCTTGGTCTACCAATATCAACAGATAGAATAATTTCTTCAAAGAGTTTACCCTAGTACCCACTGCTTATCAGTACCTACGCAGTCATACCCATTGTAAATCCAGTTATCCTATCCTCTCAGCCTTGCTCCCTGGTATTCCTTTCCATGACTTATTGTGTCTTTAACTAGATGATATAATTCTCAGAGCAGCAACTTGGTGTCTTCTCTTTCTCAGTAAATTGCTTGACCCTTGGGGGGCTGGCTAAATGACAAACCCAGCAATAACAAACCAACTGATCCTCTTCAACAGGAAATGGAGAGTATCCCCATTGACTCAAAAGACACAAGAGCAAAAATATACCACTGATATGAAAATAAATAATCTCTGATACAGAGGAAATATTGATGAAAACTGTTTTTCCCCCAAATAAGTTTAAAATTGAAGACCTGACAAATCCTAATAATTAGCAACTCTGCTGTTGCTGGGCAGAGAGATCTGTAAGAGGATGCAAGCAAAGGAATGAAGTGGAAAGAGATGGCTATGTCTGATAGATGGGAGAGGATGGAGACTATCTATTTAAAGTTTGCTTTAATTTATGCCTTTTTTTTCCTCTTGACCACTACACTGAAATCAAATAATTTCACCTTTTGATTGTAATTTCTCCTCCGATGGGTTAATTTCAACCATAGTAAATTAGATATCACATATACAGTGATACTGCATAGGATTAAGCTCTGGATTAAGACACTTAACGCTTTGATGTCTATACAAAGACTATTCCATGTGTGCCAGGATCTAAGTTCCTATTATAGTTATAGCTGACACAGTCAGTGTAGTCTAGAGGGCAATTTCTTAACTATGCCGGTATTGGCTGGTAAACTAAATACTCTTTGGACTTTGCTAACTCCATACTGGACCTCTGTTAATTATGAGAGCTTAGATACCAACTGTTAGATTCAGCTACCCACGTACAGACATCTATTGCCATCTAAGATATCTTAGGATATCCCTCTGAACCTCCAGCTGGTGGTTCAGAAGGACATGGGGTCTTTGCCAAATCTGCCCATCCCACTGGGTGTCCTGGATTCACTGGAGAGTCTCAAGTGGCATAAGCCCCTGTATTTAACTCACTACCTCCATCCCTAGGGCACACACTGATGCGGAGACACTTAGATTTAAGAGACGGATTTCCCTTTACTTTAAAATCGGCTGTTAATTTTGATTAAAGCCTTTATTTACTGAATGCTGGGGCCTCTGACATTTGTCCGCACTTCAGCAAACTAAAATAATCCTCCGTTACGGAGTGAACAGGATCCTCAGACCCCTAGTGCTGGGCACACATAACAACCTTGATTTCAAGGGGATTTCAGCGTCAGTCAGGAAGGCTTTGTCCTTGGCTGGGAAAACAGTAATAACATAGAAGTGGAATAAGATGCTTACAAATTGCCTTTACCTAAAGAGGAGAGACTACTGGACAGCTTGACATACCACATACACAGAGTGGCTTGTACCACAGTTTATGGACACCAGTGAAATGTGCATATTTTAAGGGGAAAGCTCTGTGTGTGGTGAGTGGCCCTTGTCTTTGTGGTTTTGTGGTAGTAAAATAAGAAAAACTATTGCAAATGGCTTTTCTCCAAGTATCAGGGCAAACCAGTGTGTTTCAAAGGCAGCCTGTTACAACATGAATAGGAACTAGCAATTCCTGAAGCCCCTGAAATTTTTAGAAATCGGCTCAGGTTTGTCTGAAACTGGTATTATATCAGAATGCTTTCTAATTCACATTCTAGTGCAAGGGAATCAAGCCACTATGCATCACTGAAGACATACTTATGATGAACTCAACCAAAACACAATATATCACTTACCAGGACAAAATGAATCATTCTTTGAAGGTGCCCCTCTCTCTCCACTGACTTTAAGGAAAGACTAGAATACTGGTGCAATCTGACTAGATACCTAACTTATAAATGGTTAAATAAAATGTGATGAATCCTACCTTAGGTGCAAAATATAGCATATATATAAAAGGAGAAAAAATAAAAGGAAAGAAAATCAGACCAAACAACCTGCCTAACATAGCTAAAAACTAAAGTAATAAATGCGGGGGGTTTGTTATCAGACTATTATAAACTAGGCTTTCTTATAAGCAAAGTTTATATAGTGAAGTTAGATCATAAATCCAAAATAGCACTGTTGCTGGATACTTAGTGGTATAAGTGAGATCACAGAGAGTCTCTCTGCAGTTTAAATAGATGTAATACAGCGCATAAGAGTTTTGTCCAGGTTCTCTTCGAAGCTGAATCTCACCCATAGTAAATTAGAATTCTCTGGCAACTGGCCCATAACCTTTAAACTTTTCTGGTGGATGATCTTAATATACAAAGGCTTTTTATCAGTAAATTATGTCTGGATGGGAACCAAACTCCCACTCCTACTCTTTCTCCATGCCACAACATTTTTGTAAAGCTGAACAAACATATTACATTGAACCCATGGCTTTGTAGTGTAAACACCAATACTTCATATTAACACAAGACAGTCCAAAAGTAAGACACTTACTGTCTGAATTATTTCTGCAGTATGCAATGGCTAAATAATGCAATGTTTTAAGCTGAAAATATATACTGCTTAACTGTAAATTACATTTAAATGGTGTCTGAAATTGAACTCTTGTTCCATTTTTACTTTTTTCTATGTACTCATGACTAAAAACGCAAAGGAAGTATGAGCTTGACTGTCTCCTGTCGGAGACCTCCTATTAAGACTTATACTAAAAGACCTTCACCATGTATGTAGATTTTAAGGAATTAGAAAGTTACCTGAAAAGGCTGTCATTAGCTCGCATAATCCTTCTGTTCTGCAAAGGAAATGCTGAATTTCTGGAATTAGGTTCACCTGTACATAAAAAAGAGAAGCTTTAGAAATTTCATTTTTAAAACTGTTCTTTCTTCTGGAGCCTTAAATGGTTCAGCGTTTAATTTATCAGGGAGAGACACCTCATGTAAAATACTTGTGTCAGTGTCAGTAGGGAATTACAATTTTTCCATCCCTGCAGTGTGGGATAATGAACTTAAAATATAAGTTCTTCCTCCATAGCCATCACACAACAAAGTTTCAGACTTATGCCTCTCTCTCATCCTCATCCCATTTCTGCAGCTTCCTCATGCTCTGCTGGTTACCAATCACTGTCTCTCACTGTGTAGGAATAGCACATGCAGCATGCCTGCAGTAGTGGGTGAACCCAGAGCAATCCCACGTGTGCTGTGACAGCCTGGGAAGGAGGAGTGAAGAGGAGCACACTGCGGGAGCAGCCAAGCCGTCTGCAGCTCCACACAGCTTCATCACCTTCGCCTGGGTCCATACCTGAGTTAAAGAGCTCTGCTTCTTGAATTTCTGTGCTTGGGCACAATGGCAAGCTAACGTAGCTAAACCATATCCAGACTCTACTACAAAGAACGGTTTATGGACATGCCAGCAGACAGTAATGTTAGTCCAATATTTAGAGCCATCTGGTTTAAGTCCCTGCTGTGCTTAGACTTCCTGAGGGAATTTGGACAACTCCTTTGATCACCTTATGTCTCCATTATCCATGTATGAAACTTCTAGACATTGCAGAGTGCTGTGAGGATTATTACATTGCAGATTATTACAAACTCAAATACAATATTAATCAGTAGAAGGAGAAAAAAATGGTTTGCAGAAGCCTGAGAAGCTTTATTATCTGAACTCACCTGCAACCAAAGTTTCAATATTTTTAACAAATACTGCTGTATTTTGAACTGCTGTAAAAATTTCGTTTTGCATCCACTGAGGTATTGTGTTCTGCCCCAGGGGACCTAAATGTGCTCCCAGCTCTGGGTCCTCTGGACACACAGTGTTCTTTTGAATCTCTGTGAATATGCTTTGTAGCTGAACTACATCACTTTTGAAAGCACCTCTGTCTCTCCCAAGTCTATAGATCAGAGACGGTATTTTGGGTGTTACAACAATAAGTGCCACTTTATTGAAGTATGAGCCAAAGTGTATCCACAGTTTGGTCACATGTTTTCAAACAAAGAAAGACCTCAGTTTAAGCAAGTCACATATATTTTCACCACCAGATGAGGTTCTTATTTAGATATGTGCATATTTAAGTAATATAAATTGTGCCCACGTCGTGCTCAAGCGAAAAAAAGCAATCCTGAAAATACAAGTAAATATTGGCACCAGTGAAGCTTTGGACAGTGAATAAGCAGATTGTTGTGCCAGAGCAGAACCCAACTCCTGTGAAGGCCCTGGATGAGGACATCAGTCCAGTTCACACATTATCAATTGTAGGGGCACTGTCACTGCCTGGAGAGGTGCCTGAGTTATGTTTACAATGGAGTAAATATATTAGATGAAACTCAAAAATGATATAAGATGTGAAGCCTGAATTAGTCCAGCTTTATCTTCTGCTGAAGTTGTTATTGAGAAAGAGTTGCATGCATTTGCTAGCTGTTTCCCCCCATTTCTAAATTTTCTTTTTCCAATGGCATACTTGTTTAAATTTCCTTTGACCTCTGTAGACCCTTTTTCTGCATGACCTGCTGTGTGGGGGTGGCCAAGAAAGCAAAAGTTCAGGTTGGAGAAGAGTGAAATGTGACACTTTGTTGTAACAATTTTCAGTGTTTACATTGAAATGTTTACACCCAAAATATCAGACTACATCCAAATAAGAAATTACTCTTGATCTCTGGATGTGATATAAAGAAGAATTAAATGTTGATATGTCATAAGTATCTTTCAGGAGGTCTGAAACTTGACAAAATGTTTTATAGTTGTTAAATCATGTTGCTGCATTGTAAAATGCAGCATCAGATACTCCTTTTTTGTGAGCGGGTGCTGAAAATTTTGGGTAGATCTGTCCCCTCATTCCCATAAAGAATAACACATAATCATGTACCTTCTGGAATAACTCTAGATGATGCAAGTCATCTATTTCAAAGCAGCTACTACCACCAGTTTTTCTGGAAGACAGGCAGATCAGAAGATCCCAAGGGCTCATGTCACCTGGCAGAAAAGAAGCATATTGAGAAAGAAAACATCATGCAATTGCTGTTTGAATGGAAAATGATTAGAGCCAAATCCTGTAGAACAGCAACCTACTGGGGTGGTAAATACATCAACAGCTACACAGGTGGCAGAGGGAACAAAAGACATATTATACTCATATCACAGTTCAAGTTTTGGAAGTATACTTAGGTGTTTCACAGTTGGCACCTCCTATTACACCCGTGGCACTTACTGATGCCTATTGATGTCCAGCCCCGTGGGGTCTTGCCTGAGACAACAGCATTTAGAGATGAACAAGCTGAATAACATTATCCTGCTTTACTCTGTTCCTTTTTTTCTGAACTCCTTAACTCCTTTTGTAGCACACATGCACAATATGTAGTACGATCTTCTGAGCTCTGTTCTGTTATTGAGAAGCAAATTTTACAGGAAGTAATTCTTAGCCTGAATTTGGGTATAGCTGCTTCCTAAATATTAGACACTGGATTGCCAACTTCTAGAACTGGTGAACATGCGGAAATCGAGTTGTAATGAGAAAATAGCTATATTCTTCATTACTAATTCTTCTTTTTTGCGGGGAAGCTGACATGTGAGACCATGGGATTCTATTATCAGGAAACAAGTATCACTGGAGCTGATCAGAGGTGACTATCTGAAGAAGAGCCAAAACTAAGTTGCATCAATAAAAACACCATTATGGATTAGAAGATATATATAGGTCTAGGAGTTTGCCCATGCTGCATATGATGCCCAGTGTAGCTTCAAACTAGCCTGGTCAGCCACCTGAAGCAGTCACTTGTTTTCTTCTGAATACAGCCTTAGAGATCTAGATTATTTAGAGATGGTGGCATTTCTGAAACAATCAACAGAATCGTTGTAACTGTTCAGGACAGTATAAATAGATTCAATAAATGGGAAATCATTTCAGGGATGGGGTGCCAGTCAGAAGCAAAAACTGCCAAACAGAAAGGGTAGCCAGAGAAGCTGTAAAGCATCTAAGGCAGGGTACAGCATTTAATCATCTCTCTCTTCAGGGTAGCTATTACAGTGATTGGTTGGTTGCTTCATTTCCTCCAAGGCTGGGAAGATTACATACATTTTATTTCCTTTCTATGCTACCCATCTGTGGCACCTTTAATTTTATAAGATTATCCCCTAAATTTGGTCCCACTGACAGCTACAGAGATATTATTCTGGCTGATTTCCCTCTCCAAAATGTAATTCTTTCCCATACTGATCGCCATTCTCAAACACCAGGCAGGCTGAGGATTTCACTTAAGGAGATTTAACACTCAATTTGCATTAAGTACAGTAATGAATGGAATGTGCAGAATAGATTCAGGATTATGAAAATAACTAGCACCTTTTTAATGCTTATAAGCAGTGCTTCAAAAAGCTAGAGCAGAACTTTCAGTTACACTCTATCCATTACTGTAAAGAATTCTTCAGTTTTACAAGAATCAGTATTATTGCATAAAATTGCATTAAGGCGTATGAAATTCAAGCAAGGCAGACTCACTACATGCTCCTTTGTGAAACAAACAAAAAAAAAAACTGCAGGTATAAAAAAATATGAGGAAACACTTCGTTTTAGTGCAAAAGATTGACAGTGTTAAGAACCTACTCGATGGTCCTGACCAGCCATGTAATTATCAGATAAGCAGCATGTTATGCCTTTGACTGGTAAACACCTTTGACTAAATCATTATAATTACATATAAAGCACAATGTCTGGCTGTGTGCAAATTGAAAGGGTGCTGGAGGGAACTCAGCTTCCCAGAAGCAGTTCATTTCCTTCCCTTGTTTATTGTTACACATCCTGGCCAGGGATGAATTTGACCCCTGACTCCAAAATATACACTGCCTTGTGTATCATTTGCCTTTAGGACACAGCAGAGTGATCGACATGAATGTACAAAAGAAAAAAAAAGGAAAAAAAGGGCTCTCCGACCTTACTCATTTCTGAACCAATGCCCAGGAAGTAGAACAGTTAACTTCTAGGAACAATTTTTCAGTCTGGTTTGAGTGCCTGCCATTATTTGTGTTTTCTGTTTAGGGTAAATAGATGTCTACCCAGTTACTTCAGTACAGAACAATCAGAACTGAAACATGCCTATTTATAGAAAACAGGAGACTTCCCATTAGCGAAACGATGTACACCTAGTGCTGTCTCTCAGATGCAGGCTGACAGAGCTTTCTGATTTCTATTTAAATATATCAATACATTTTGAATCAACTACAATTGAAAAAATGGTCTTGGAAAACCAAAATGATAGAGGCATGTGTTGTAACAGTTATTTAGTTCTGGAGCAGACTCTTCTGTGAGCAGATATAGCTTATTAATTGTCCACGTCATCCCTTACAGTTTAGCTTTTTGACGAAAATGAACATCTATGATCATGAGACCATGAGCCTGTCTCCCTTCTAGAAATGTGATAATTATAAAACCATAACTCAGTAAAGAGGAGCTATTATTATTCATATTGTGGTAATAGCACATTACCAAGGCAAAGGATCCCAAAGCATCAGGCACTGTATTTTAACACAAAAGAAGATCCCTTTCACAGAGATTACATCTAAAATAAAGCAAGATACAATATGTGAGTTAGAACAACGCACAAGAAAGGAAGAACAAAAGTGGCAGGAATAAGACAGCTGTACAGATAAACTTGATGCTTCAAAAAGCTTTTAGAGATGTTTAATGAAAAAATATTAATAATGGCTACATTACTCCTCCTCCTAATCATGATCTTGCAAATTGCTAATTTCTTGCAGATTGCACACCAGAAGTGGGCTTTGAGAGGATATTTGAATTGGAACATTAAAATAGATATTTCATTTCTGAATAATTAAAAGCAATACTACTAACAATTTTTGTGAACTGTTTCCCACAAAAAGGGCTTTGTCTATGCTTAGTGAAATCCTGTTTGCCTTATTTAGGTAGATCAATGGAGCTCAGCATGTAGCAGTAGTAGACCAGCTGAACAATATAAAGACCCACCTCAGGGAGATGGTCTTTGCTGCCTTGTATTACTTTACATTTGCAGTGGACAAGCAGAAGAGTGGCAACTTGCAATGATGAATTGCAATTTTCTGCTCATGCCCTCTCCAAGCATCTTTCAAGCCAAGATTTTTTGGTTCAGCCCATTGATGGTACAGAGCTTGCCTGCACAAGGAACATTCACCCACAGAATTACAGCTTATTATAGAGGCAAGGTGATTCTCATGCGGACATGGATTATACTGGAAGCATGACATTTTTATTTGCCTGTCTTTTGTCAATTCTTTACTCCTCAGTGCCTCCTGACTGACACAAATGATCCTAGTGAGAGTGTCATTTTGCTGATATAACTGTCTACATGAGAGGCCTCTGCCAAGATGGGTTACATCACTAAGAGATCAGGTTCTCCCCAGACCTTCATCAGACATAGGAAAAGTTAAGGGCAGATGTGGCCTATGGAGGCAGATTTAAACACATGCACAGCCGTGTAAAACCTGCAGCATCAGTTCATTTAGCTAACCTTGTGACATTCAAGCATACACTGAGCCTAGAAATTGCCAAGTTACAGCTCAGTAAAAAATATAGCAAGACCATAATAAACTTGAATTCGCAACGGAAGTGACAGCACACACAATGCAACTTAACGGTCAAAATGCAAACAATGTACAAATTATAATTTTAATCTAGATTCCAGTGGTTTCATTGGCTTTTACTCTGGCTTGATACTTGGAATAATTAAAATGGTTAATGTGGAAAAATAATTCAAAAGATAGCGATCTAAGGAGAAAAACAAATATGTTTTTACCAATGATGGAAATAGCAATGCAGAGACTAACAAAAATATTTACTTTTGCTATAAAAATATTCTACAGAGAGTTTTGTCTTCTGATATCATAAATCAGCTGAACAAAAACAAACAAAGAGCTGTAGGATTTAGTGGTTTTTTGTGCTTAAAGCAAAAATGTTCCATGGATCAACTTCAATAATTTTGAAGGAGAAAGTAGATTTCTAAAATGAAGTATCTTGTTCCTAACTTTGAAATTATAATGTTATCCCCATAAATTATGGCATTGGAAGCTGGATTTTGCAAGGAAACCTGTTAGGTATGTGCTAAGTATGCAACTCTATGGAGTTTTTAATCTCTTATGTGTATACACAGAAAAATATTATTATATTTAATGAGAAATGAATGAGACAGTTCCATTACAATAGCATAGGCAGAAATTTCATTTTTCAGTACTAGTGTCATCATCCTGATTTTTTAAATAAAATAAGTCTGAAAATCTAATATAATCTTCATTTTTATGCTAATATCTTTCTGCACGTCATTAATCCTGGAAAATTAAAATGCTGTTCAGCTTTATTTTTATTTTAATTTCTAGGCAATTTGCAATTTTGCACTCTCTTGTACCATCAACATTAAAATGATCAATTTATAAGCACTAGAGGACAATAAAATGATAAGAAACAGGAACATGTTGCCAGGAACATATCATGTCAAACCAGTCTAATTTGCTCTGTCAGAGTAACTGACTTAGTGGACAAAGGGGAAACAGCCATGATGAAACAGTTTTACTTTATTATTAAGTCTTTTGACACTTTTTCCATGTAACAACTATAATGTGAGTGCACAGCTATTTGAAAAATCAATTCTACACTAACAGTGGATTTTTTTTTTTTTGAGTATAGTCTCAAAGGATGTACGACTATACATTCAGTCCTGCTCCATTTTTTAATTAATGAACTGAGTGATGGAACAGAAAGTATATTTCTAAGTAGCAAATGACACCAAGTGGAATGGAAATGTAAGCACTTTGGAAGACATGATCAGACTTCAAAATCTTTTTGATAAACGGTCCAAATTCAACCTGAGGAAATTCAAGACAAGTTCAAAGCTCCATAATTTGGAAGAAGTCAGATGGACAGATACAAATGAACAATACTGCAGAACAATACTGCAGAAAAGTACTAAGTTCATAAATCACACATGAATCAA